GAAGTTAGCAACCCAACCCGAGCACGTGGTAAGTTGGCTCCCAATTGGGAAGGCCCTTATCGGGTGATCGAAGTTGTTAGGGTCGGCACGTACCGACTCGCAACGATGCAGGGCCACGCTTTGCCAAGGACTTGGAACTTGCAAAATCTCAAAAAGTTCTTTCCATAATGCGATGAACAGAGACTTAGCAAAAGTCAGAATTGTACTACGGCATCAGATGACACATCGCATCAAGTGATCAGCAAACAACAAGCTAGGAAAAAAGACTACTGATGAGAGTGAAAACAGCTATATTATTTTTCAGGAAGCGCATTACATCAGTGATCAACACCCGAACAACAAAACAAAGAAGAAAAATACAAAGATACCTACATTTATTCTCAAGAGCATCGGGACTGTCGTCAAATGGGACTTCGTCCGGCATATCGACACTCATGTCCTCGGGAAAGGAGTCGAAAGGATCCTCCGCGACCTCCAGGCTAGGGTGGCACGCCTTGAAGCGGGCAAGGGCGATCTGGTACCCGTACTCGTACGAGACCCGCCCAGTCCGAACAAGGCTAAGTTGAAAGCCCGAGGAATCTTTGTAATCCTCGATCAATTTCTTGTCCTTCTCCGGCCTTTGACGGATCTCGACGGCAAGGGCCTCGGATGCCCCCCGCGCCTTGGCGCGCCCCTCCTCCAACCGTCGGATCAGCTCGACCGACTCCCCCCGTGCCGAACAGGCTTCGGCCATAGATGCTCTCAGATGCGTCTGAAGCTCCTTATTTCGCTCCTCGGACGCCTTGAGCTCGGATCGGAGGCGCGTCGCCTCCGCATCCAAATCTGAGGTGCGCTGCTCGATGACCCGCCCCGCGTCGCGAATGCGGTCCATCAACGCCGCGACATAATGATTGCCCTGCAAACAAATAAGTCAAGACAAAAACTATCCGAGCACATGCAACCGAACTGGCTGAATGACACTTACCCACAGCAGCGACTTGGCAGACCTGCCAAGAAGGACCTCGGAGGGCAGAGTATACAGGTCCCGAGCTATGTCGGGATGGAGCCCTCCGCGGACAAACCCGGCCGCGGAATCCCTTTCGGCCCGCACCCGGCTACCTCGGGTAAGGCCTTCCCAGTGGGCCGTCAGTGGGTCGGAGGTCTCGCCCTGCGGGAGGTCACCCATCGCCCGCGTCTGGTAGGGCTCGTCCTCCCCCCCGGTCGGACTGTGGCAAAGTTCGCGGATGGAGGGCTCTCGAGGAGCCTTCCCTGCCGCCTCCCTACTGGAGCCAGCTTCTCCTCGCCCGAGGCTCCTCCCGGCACGGCCGGCCGGTGCATCGATGGCCCCCGCTGGCTGAGTCGCAGCTTCCCCAGAGGCTTTTGCTGAGGAAGCCCTCGCCTTCTTTCGAGGACGACCGACCTCGACATCCACCGGAGCCTCTCTCGAGCCAGCCCTCGCCTCGGCCGGCGAACGGGTGGATGGGGCCGACGAGGTCTTACCCCCACACAGGGCTCGGAGAACCACCATCTCTACGCAAAAGCATTAACATTGGTCAGCTGACTAGATAATCCCTAAAAGAGACCCTAAAACTACCCCTTAGGGCATACCTCGAGGCATTGGGCTAAGACCCGCCTCGACCAACCACTGCTCGGACATACTCTGGATGGCTCTTGAGGCTGGAAGGATTTCTTTAAGCCTCCGGAGCTCTCGGCGCTCCTCGTCGTCCAAAGCCGGGGCGGTGTTGTCTATCACGCACGCAGCCCACCGGAGCTCGAACCCCCAGTCCTCCGAACGGCTGACGAAAAAGAAGCACCCCTTCCATCCCTTATTACTGGAAGTAGCCCCGCTCACTCGGAAGCCCGCTCGGGCGGACAAATAGTAGCCCCCCGACCCCTTGGAAAGACGAAAGCAAGAAAGGAAGAGGGATCGGGTCGGGGTGATGTTGGCATAGTGGCACTCCCCCAGGAACGCCACCAGATAGCGCCAAGAGTTGGGCACCATCTGAGACGGGGAGATGCGCCACCATGAGATGCAAGAGGTTATGATGGGGTGCAGGGGGAGGCGTAGCCCGGCCTCAAAAGCATCAAGGGTGAGGGCGAAACACTTGGGAATCGGATCGTACGCCCGTTGGTCGGGCTCGGGAGCAAGAAGGACAAATTCCTCTGGGATGTCGTAGAGATCCCGGAGGCGACTGAGCGACGACTCGCTCATGGTGGAATCGAGGTCGTGTGGCCGCATCAGGGCCTCAAGGGCTCAGGCCGCCTTTTCGTCGGATGACGAGTTAGGACTCGACGCGGTCACCTTTTTCCCAACTTTAACCGAAGAAGAAGATGAAGAGGAAGAGGAGGAAGACACCATCCTTACTGACCTTTAGTGAGAGAAGAGGAACGATCGACGCAAAACGATGGAGTCCGAAGCGGCAGAATATAAACGAGTGAGGAGACCTTCTGGGGACTAACTGCACACTACTTATAAACAAAATCCCGCCAAAAACAACGACCTTTCCTGAAGCATGTCGCGTCAGGATGACCAAACGTCATTCCACCATAAATGTGGCTTGACAAGGCGGCCAATGGGTGCGCTACGCATGGCAAACAACGGGCTTGAAGCGTCGGTCTTCTTAAAAACTGGCGATTCGCGAAAAGGTTCATCCTCTGGACTCCCAGGCAGACCAAAGGCCACCCGGCCACCCTCGCCTCCCGCAGCACAGCCTACAGATCCGATCAAAGTAGCTCCTCGATCGCAGCCGCCTGCGTCGTGCTCCTCGGTCTCATGCTACCCGGGACCACACCTACGCGGCTTGCCCGCTTGTGTCGTGCTCCTCGGCCTCATGCTGCCCGGGACCACACCTGCACGGCTTGCCCGCCTGCGTCGTGCTCCTCGGCCTCATGCCGCCCGGGACCACACTTGCGTGGCATGCCCGCCTGCGTCGTGCTCCTCGGCCTCATGTCGCCCGGGACCACACTTGCGCGGCTTGCCCGCCTGCGTCGTGC